TATACTGTAATTTGTTTAGTCATCCCCAATTTATCAATTTTCCCTTTGTTTCCAATACTTTTCTATCACAAAAACCCTTACTATAAATATCTCTGTATATATGTATTATTTTCCATTTCATTTAATCTCTTTGTAGATATAGGCCTAGTAGTGATATTGCTGGGTTAAATGTAGGACTTTTAGGACATTAATCCAAATTGCTTTCCAGAATGGCAACACCCATTCACAGCTCCACCAATAGTACATTAATGTCTCTTTTCCCATTGTCACTCTGTTTGTCTTTGTCCATTTTTCTCAACTTTGCCCATCTGATTGTTATGTAATAGAAACTCAGAATTGCTTTATTTTTACATTCTCTAATTATTAGAGATTTGGAGCATTTTTTCATGTGAATATTGATAATTTGGAGTTCTTTCTTTGTAAACTGCCTGTTCATAACCCTTGACCTTTTGTTAATAAGAGAGTGGCTCATTCTTACAAATTAGAATCTGTTCCTTATCTATGTCTTAGAAAGGAGACCTTTGTCAGAGAAACTTGCTGCAAAGATATTTTTTCCCAGTTAACTATTTTCTAATCTTAGCAGTGTTGGTTTTGTTTCTACAAAACTTTTAAGTTTTATGTAATAAATTGCTCATTTTATCTTCTTGATCTCTCTATTCTTTTTTTTTTTGTCATGAACTCTTCCCCTAGACATAGATAGGACATTTATTTATAAGAAAGATCATTTTATCTTTCTTTTTCAGGTGTTTCCCTTAAATGAAGATATTTATTTGCACTTTTTTCCCCTTTATTGAGCTAAAATTTTATCTCAGCACACAACATTTTATTGCTCTCCATTACCCATAGAAGTAATTCAGAGAAAAAGTAATAAAACTGCAGCTTCCTTCATAGCAAAACCTCCCCAAACTGACCATTAATAATCAAAATTGGAAAGACTAAGTGATAGTCTTAATTTTTCCTTTTCTGGGAACATATTTTGAAGTATGTTCTAGTGTCCGGGCCTAGTAGGCAATGAAACTACATTGACTATTCCTAAGCTGACTAGTAAATGCCAAAAATTAATTTTTATTTGCCATTTTTCCTGTGCCAAGACATAATTAATGCACCCTTTTGTATGCTTTGTTGCTGGTTCAAGCTATTGAGGTGACTTTGTTCACACTTAAGCTTCTTGTGGTGTAATAGTTTCTAAAAGATGGCCAAGAATATGAGAAATTGAACATTTCGATGAAAATTGAAAATCCCCGTGGGCGTTTGTGTTCCAGTAGAAATGATTGCCTTTTCTTCATCTTTCCATCCCACCTTAGGAGGTATTTGGCAGTTTTGCAAGTCCCTCCAATGTATATTTTAACAGTAGTTAGGCCTATTTGAATTCCCTCTTTTCCCCATGCTACTTGACCTTTTCAGAATAACCATATACAGAATGAAATTGGTCCAAGATGAAATGTAAAATGTGTTCACACTTGGTTATACATTATAATGACTCCTGTTGCCCCAGAAGCCTGGGGGAAGGTTTAGCTAAAATATCTATAGAGGATGGAGGTAGAACTGGAAACTCCCTTTATAAACAGCTGCATGCCTCACTTCAAAAGGAAAACAGGGAAAAGGGATGGGTGCCTTAAAGATGTTAGAAGAAGTTGCCAGGTGCAGTATTTTTAGTTTGAACTGAAGATTCAACATGTCATTTTCACCTTGAAAAGACAAGTGGGCTCTTCAAGTGAAGAAAATGGTGCTCTTGTTTTCATACCTTTTCTCATATGTCAATAGAAACTCAGATGAACAGCTCTGTGAAGAAGTAGCCAAATCACCAATAAGACAAAACACAGCATTGTGTATGGGTCTCAATAATGTGTACTATGATGATGTGCATTTCTGGCGTCCATGCAGAACTAACTTTGCTTCAGCTGAGGAATATATTTTCCCTCTTTCAAGCTTGCTTACCTCCCATATGTTTTTAAAATTTCCTTCCCTGGTTTGCTTTGGCCTGGGAAAGAGGCTATCACTTGTCTGCTCTCTATGTATGTTGGAGAGTACAAGTTGACAGCTGTGTTTCCCTCCCTATGCAATGCTAACTACTCTGAGGTCAAACATAGCACAGGGCCACGTTGTGCTTAGCCTCTTTGCCTATTCCATTAGGCCTCAGCATAATGGTAGCACTTATCCCCAGGTAGTAGATAAAGAGTTGTATTCTCTGCCCCAGTGATACTCTGTGTTGTAATGATTGGAGGACCATAAAATGGCTTTTAACAGGCTCTTAGTGCCATGTAACTTTGACATTGTGCTGTCCCCATAATCACCAAAGTCTCTCTCTGAAACATCCACATTTTCCCAATCTCGCCTTCCACTCCACAGGTACAACTCCTCACAGTTTGGATGAAGACCTCAAAAAAGTCAAAATTGTGAAAAGAAAAAAAAAGATCCACTCAATAAACATTTGTAAAGCATTGACTGTGTACAAGGCACTATGCTAGGTTCAGGGAATACAAAAACAAAAAAGAGAATTTTCTCTGCCATCATAAAGCTTGCATCCAGATAATATTTCTAGATATTATATTATTGAGCTTTTTTGTGCTTTCTTAAACTATCCTTAATTGTACAGGTACTCACATTCATCACCTGATAAGTAGTCAAAAGATGTTAATAGTCAGTTATCAAAGGAAGAAATATGCTTTCAGTAGCTATATGAAAAATACTCCAAATCACTATTAATTAGGTAAATTCAAATTAAAGAAACTCTGAAATTAGTTCAAAGATTATGCATAGCTTAGTGACTTTTAGGATATAGTTCCAAATTAGTTTTCAAAATGGGTGGACAAATTCACAGCTCCAGCAATATGACATAATGTGCCTGTTTTCCTACAGTCCCTCCTACATTTGCCATTTTCTTCTTTTGTCATCTTTGCCAGTCGAATTGGTGTTGAGGTAGCCAAAAAAGATCTAAGAAAAACAAATTAAAAAATAAAAAATAAAATAAAAAAAGATCAAAGAAATAAGAAAAGGACCCATATATACAAAACATTTTATAATATGTTATTTTTTGTAGTAACAAAAAAACCCTGGAAACTAAGGTGGTGCTCATCAATTGAGAAATGGATAAACAAATCATGGTGTATGAATGTCATATAATACTATTGTGCCATGAACCATGGCACATTCTCTTTCAGAGAAACCTGGGAAGAGTTTGAAAGACTTAAGAGCTCTTATCATTGGTGAAAAATGTTACCTATCTCCTGACAGAGAGGTGATCAATTCAAGATGCAGAATGAGAACTACCTCTTTGTATTTGGCCAATGTCAGAATTTCTTTTGCTTCATATTTGTTAAAAGGGTTTCCTCTTTTTTTTTTCAAATGGGAGAATGAGACTGAGAGAAAATGAATATTTGACAATTGAAAAAATCTATTTTAAAAATTGTGCAAATGCCTATTAATATACTAAATGTTTTTGTCTGACAACCAGCCTAGCTAAGACTAGAGATGTATCATTACAAGTTTGTTCACAAATTATGGCTTTTTCATTCACAACAACTCTGACAACTGTAACTTAGATAGGAGAACTGAAACTTTGCCCCAGGATTCTGCAATATAGAAGGCACTTTGACAAATATGTGTAGTCCTCAAGCAGCATAGAAGCAACTGAGCTAATACTTAGTTAGCAAGAAAAATTGGTTAAATGGAATTTACAAATACATGCTTCCTCTTTCTTCCCTCTGCCACTGTACTCTAGTCTGGCCCTGCTTCCTCCCTAGACAATAGTCTCCCCACGAGCTTTCTTACTATATCTGAGGCCATAAAAGCCAACTCATTTCCCTTTTTAATTTGTCATAAAAAATGAATCTGCTGGAATGTTTTGTGCTACTTGCCTCCAGATATATATTGTACCTCTGGCCTCAAGTGCAAAAAAATGGCTCATTTTGGTTCTTGTAACTCTCAAAGACCATCTACTAAGTTGTAGAAGGATTAGGATCTGCATTGATGGTGGAAGGACACATTGATAAAATGACAGATTCCTGAAATATTAGAAGCCCAGTGGAAAAAAAGGTCTAGCTTTGGAGTCAGAAGACCTGGGGTTGCATTTTGGCTCTGCCACATATTACCCCTATGACAGTGGGCAAATCATTTAAGCTCTCTGTCTCAGTTTCCTCATTTGTAAAAGGAGGGAATTAGACTATATGATCTCCCAAGTCTCTTCTAGTTCCAAATATTTGCGCTTAAAGTAAGTAAAGATAACATACTCCTGCTTATTGGACTTTGTTTAATTTTGAGATAGAGATTACATAATAAATATAGAAAGAATACAAACTACTTATTCTGATTTAATTGAGAGCCTGTGTTTTGGCTGTTCCATGTAGAAATTAACTTGTGGGAATGCTTGAGAACAAAAATTTGGCCATATTTTCAAAAGAATTTATCCTCAGTTCCATAAGCCTTGTTTCCTCTCACCTCTGTATCCTCACAGACCTGAATTTAAATTGTGGAGATTATTAAAGGACTTTGCTCTCTGGCCATTTCACCAGCCTTCAGGCATTAGAAGACATACCCCCTTCATGCCCAGACCTCCCACCCTGAGAACCCACGGTGCTGATTGATGGTTATTCCGTTTACTCACTACATCTAGGGATGGCTCCATCCATACTGCATTTGACTCCCCATCCATCTAACCAGCCTCCGTGTTTTCATGCATATAATGACCATCTGCCCCCTGCGACTCCTTTCTTTCCAGTTCTGTCCTTGTCCCTAAAAAGCATATCTCAGTCTACTCCCTGATGGTTCCCTTCACCATCCCTGTAACTTTCTAAACCACAGTTTTTCCCCTGGGTTACTGTTTCATTATCTGTATTGTCTCTACCCATTACAATGTAAGCTCCTGAAGACAGGGGCATTGCTTTTGTTTTTGTATCTTCAGTGCATAGAACATTGTGTGGCATGTAGTAAGCATTTAATAAATGCTTTTTCATTCATTCATTCATTCATTCATTCATTCACCTATCTTGTCTTGCTTGCAGCTATCCAGTTGGAAAAATGGACACTTCTGAAGTTAATTCAAGCCTAGCTATCTAGTTAAACTCCAAGGGCCTGCTAATGGAGCCAAAGGTCACACTGCTGGTAAATGTCTCAGGTAGGATTGGATCTCAGGTTTACCTGACTCTAAGTCTACTGTCCTCTTCACAGTGCCATGCTGCCTTGAATGTGAGGAAGACTGAACAGATAGATTCTCATGGGCTAACCAACAACCCCCAAAACCAACAAGCAAATAAAAATGCTTGCATGTGAATTATGCTGTCACATTTTAATGATTAATGCTGTGGAAGTTGTCTAAAGTAAAGAACAGATATTTCTGTGTATTTTTCAGTGTGTTTTGAAGGCAAATCAAATACAAGATACATTGCTAATTTGATTCATGTTTTTAAATCCTTAAGAAAACCGACTGCCACAAATTTCCAAAATCACTTGGCTCTAGCAAGCATTACTTAAAAACCTAGGTTTGAAATTAGATTAAGATGAGAAAAGGATAGAGACTAGACCTATTATTCAATAATAGGGAACTCCTAGATAGAAAAACTGCCTCTACCAATACAGGTTGGCAGTCCTCTCCAATTGATAGTCCTAGAGATTATCCTAGAGTACTCATGATTTGCCCATGGTCACATAGCCAGGATGTGTCCAAAGTGACTTGAACTCAGATCTTTCTGGCTTAGAGGCCAACCCTCTATCCACTATGTATGTTACCTTCTACAGAAAATGCTTACCTTGCTTATATAGGAAAAAGCCCCATTTATAATTTACATTAAAAAACTGACTGTAAAGGGCATTATTTTAACTTTGAAGGCATGAAGAGATTGAAAGAAGCCCCCTATCCCAGCCCACTTCTCCCCTTCAACTTTCACCTGCAGCACATATGTAAGCGCACATTTAATTTTATGTTTGGACAATGTTTATATTGGTTTAGTTGGATATCCTTCTAGATTTTCTTTGTGTTTTCATACTATCCCACTCTTCAAATAAATAAATGGAATGTCACCAGTGAACTCAAGTGATGTAATACTACTGTTGTGTATTCCTGGTCAAGTCTGTTTAGAGATGTATTTAGCAATATTGCTATAGAAAGAAGGCATTTTCTGATGTAATATATTGAAATAGGGTAGGAGGAGTGTCATCACTTGGCAGGTAGCCTCAGGCAAGCCTTCTGCCTGTTGAGGCCTGTGTACTAAACTTATCTGCCATTTAAGAGGGAAAAGTCTCTGAATTATCGGCATCTCACTTGGCCTGGACAGGGGACACCACAAGATGAAATCTATGTTTTTAAAGGACATCTTTGTAAACTTTATTGGTTGTGAATTCTCAGGAACATCAAGATTAAAGAGAACGAGGTCCTACCTTAAACCATTGCTTTGCCATTTGGTTTTTGAGTCCATAAGTCAGCAAGAACACATATTTTGGATGACCCTCATACTATGGTAAAGGTTTACCAAGCAACATAGAGAACACTGTTTCTAAATAAAAGGTTTGATTTCCATGCCTGTTCTTTTAGTTCCTGTAAATTGAAAAGAGTGTCAATCTGTGCTCCAAAAATTATTTTCTTGTGCCTGCATGCACATTTCATTTGCCACCCAGCATCACTCCTTTTGACTTTACCATCATACCCCAGGTAGCTCATTATCCTGCAAGATCATTTCAACCCTGGAACTCACACGTCCTCAGTTCCCCCTGTCCTAGGGCCCCTCCCTCTGATTAGAGAGTGTTGAACCCCCTTCCTGAACCTCCATTTATGGAGAGGGCTCAGGCCAGCCATTTCTTCATTTCCTACTATATGTTCCTTTGGCCCTTGCTGCCAGGCCCTGCCCTGGCAATTAAAAGAATTGCCCCAGTTCTCTGCATTTGATCTTTCTTTGTCCTGGTAGAGAAGTGACTCATTGAGATTGTATTTAATTCTAGTTTCATATAATTAGACTAGAGAATCCTAGAATTTCCTTTGCCTGGAATCACTGGCCTATGACATCAAGGATGTCATTTGGGAATTTTGTATAACAGCTTTGTGAACAATACGCTTGTGTATAACCCAGGCTCTCTGAATATGCCCAGTTCTAAAGTGGATCTCTGCTACATCTCCTACTACGTGGGTGGGGATAGCCTCCTTTGACTGATTTCTTACTTCTTTAAAACTGACTAGATTGAGCCAGTGAGAGGGGAAAGACTGTCCTCCTACATATATCTCTTTTACCCCAGTTCCCAAAAATGGGCCTGGGGATGTTTGCTTCTTTTCTGTCTTGTTTGTCCTTCTCAGTTTTAGGTATTAGAGGTGATCACCATTAGACTGGAAGTTCAAGTTTCAGGCATCTTGGTTTCTCAGAGTTTCCATGCCCAGCTGGCTGCTGCACCACCCTGTCTGCAACCCTGGCTCCAAGTTTGCCATGTAAGAGTGGAAGTGGCTCAGTCCCACCAGTTTTAAAGACATAGACAGCCAAAGAAAGGAAGATACCCATACTCACATGGTAGCGGATGCAGCAGGGCTCCATGTTAGAAGTGAACATACTCAGAGAACCTAAGCTACGTTAGAGTTCATAATCACACAACAAAACCATAGCAGCTGCCCTGTGGCCAGTGTATGCTTGAGCTTGGTACATAACTAATAGCTCTAAGATTGGGCACTTGAGGATTTGCCGCAGAGTGCTAATGGTTAGAGAGCTTGACTATTTTCTACTCCTTCAGTTGACAGAAACAAGTGAACTTAAATACCTAGTTAGCTAGAATAATTAGTTTAAAGATAAAGTTACCAAAAGACACACTCGTCTTCCCAGCAACCACAACCCAGGGAAGCTTGTCCCTTATTTGGTCTGCCTTGCTCCATCTTCCAGAATTTATCTTCCTCTGGAACAGCAGTTTCACATTGTCCTGAAGTCTCTGCAGGGGGGTGGGGGAGGGTGGGGGATGGGAGGATGGGATGTCCCTGTTCTGTTATCTTCCTCTTCCTGACAAGACAGGATCTCTCTCATAAAGCCTTATGTGCTGAAATCCAGTGCTTCTAACTCATCAACATTTCTCCCCAACTATTTGCCCCCCCAAAATATTTTGTCCCCAAGGAGCAAGAATTTGTTGTTATGGTTCCAAAGAGCAACGATGCTGTTTAGTAAAAGAAACCACTGCAGATATGCCAATGTACTTTAGTGATCAAAGGGTTTCATGTCCTCCCTTGTCTTCTTTTTTTGATATTTGGCCTTCAAATTCTAAGTAGGCACAAACAATTTGTAGAATTTTTTTATATTTTCTGCCTGTACTCTGTAGATATCTCAGTGTGATCACTTCTCTTTATTACATCTGCCATAGGTATGCACAGAGCATGAGGTTCCTCTATAGGCAAGAGCTGGCACACCTGACCCATGCTCTATGCATACCTGTGATGTCTGCCTATGTATCCAATCACGAATGTATGCAATTACGAAAAACAGACACTTTAGCCTGCTTGGGAATAGAACTCTGAAATGCTGTGTTGAAAAATGTGTTAGAATAAAGAATCTTGGGTAGGCCTTGAAATGTCAACCGAAAAATACCAAATCCTCTGGTTTTGTTAAACCAAACTCTTTGGTTAAACCAAAAATCTCTTCCCTGGCCTCCATTCTCTTACATGTACTGTTTCTCCCTGTTAGAATATCAGCACCTTGTCTTGCTTCTCTATTTATATCCACATTGCTCAGCGCATAGGAAGTACTTAATAATTAGTTTTTAATTCATTCATAAACTATTCAAGTTACTCTGGGCCTAGAGTAATGAAAGACTTTCCAATTTGATTGTTGCACTGCTCTCTTTGATTATTTGAGAGACTATGTAGAATGAGAAAGGTGTTGTAGTACTGGAAGAAGGCAAATATTCTGGTTTTCAAAAAAAAAAAAGGGGGTAGTCAGCAAGGAACCATTGACTCTGAATTCATCTTCTGGCAACAATCTAGAGTATATTATTAAAATAGTGATTTTGTGAGCTTCTGATGGGTTCTGAATATGAGGAGGTTAACACAGGTTGGGATTTTTTTTTCTTGATGCTTAACTTATGGAATGTGGAGATGCTGTAGACATAGTATTATTAATTTTCTTAAAACACAAGTCTGCCAACAGCCCTCCCCCGTTCCTTATTGCCACTTCATCCTAGCAATTAGGCCCTCCACAGCCTGCCTCTAATGTATCTTTACAGCCTTATTGTGTATTACTCTTTCACATGTACTCCGCATTCTGTTCAAGCTGGATGAGTAACTGTTCCCTGAATTCCCAGTCCAAGAGAGAGGCAGAGATCAAGAGAAAACATATCACCACTGTTCTGCTTCCTTTCCAGGAAAACTGTAGATATGGGACCCTGGGAAAGTCATTGGAGGGAATAATACAGATCTGCCCAAAGATTTTAGAGCCTTCTTTTCATAAGATTTAGAGCTACAAATAACCTTCGAAGCCATTAAGTGCAACCCCTTTGACAGATGCGGAAACTGAGGCACAGAGAAGTTATGTGACTTGCCCAGGATCCCATAGCTAATAATCAGGATTTGAACCCAGGTCAACCTGATGCTACATCTAGTCCTCTCTCCACTAAACCACACTGCCCCTTTCAGCAGTGTTTCTTCTGAACGTGAATTATATCTGACTATGCTATAAAGAACTAGATTCCAGTTTATGTCATTGGCCTGTTAGCAGTAACACCATTCAGCAAGGAAGAGTGAGAGACAACCCTGTGATACCAGAGGAAAAAAAAATAGGGTTCAGTCTTTCATCAATATTCTTGATTTGTTATATTGTATATACCTGAATGTACTCATTTTCTGAACAAACATTATTTTCACCTAAATATGCTTTTAAATTCTTCCATTGGTTTACTAGAAGCTATTGACGTGAAAGTCTGGGTGTGAAAATTTACAATACGTGCTAAAAAAAATATTGCTTTCCATAATACAGTCTACTTGGAGTCAGGAGTCTTTAGCTCTAGGCAAGCCTAGGGAGACTATTTGCAAAACAAATTGCACCTTCAGATCTCAGACTAAATAAAGTCACAAGGTCAATGTTAGAAGAGAATGGAATTCAGTAATATTGGTGTAAGATTTTCAAGTCCATGGTATGCCAGTCCTTGAA